TGTGGAACAGGCGATGAAGCAGTCGTCTATGTATCGACAGTAGAGTAAAGGTCGGTGGTCGAGAACTGGAGCTTCCGCCTCAGACATTAAAGCGATGGCAAGGCTTGGTGTTAAACGCTGTCCCATCGCCAACCCTCTAATTTGTGCAAAATATTTTCCAGAGCACCTAAAGATTGAACAGCTAAGACACTGTTTTAAGAGGGTCATTAGTTGTGCAATCGACAAACCGTGCATTTTCATTTCCTTTTCATGCTCTACGAGCAACTCGAGAATGGCTTGCATTGCGGAGTCATTGGACACGTTGGTATAAAGTGAACTAACATCGAATGACTCCATTATATGCGTGCTGTTTGGTTGCGCGCGCCGTAGGTGATCCAGAAATATTTTGGTGTTAGGTAGATGGGTTGGAATGAATTTTAGCAGCTGGGTTAGGATAAGGTTTAGGAACGACGTTATTCTATCCGTTTGCCCGCCTATACAACTGATGATAGGTCTAACTTTAAATGATGATGGGTTCGTTGATGTAATATCATCAGTTGAAGTAAGCTTATGTGTTTTAATAAGCAAGTAAAGGACAGGGCAAATCGGGTGTTCGTTCTTAAGTCGAGAAATAACTGAAGGCTCTAAACCCGCGGCCTTTGCCGTGCTGACCCATTCTTGATTCAATTTTCGGTATTGATTTCTGTATTCCTTTTCAGAGGATGTTCGATAGAGAGAAACATCATTGAGGTGCTCCTCTGTTATCCTAATATCCAACTAAGAAGAGCTACAAATTCTTCACCTTCTCACTAATAAAAAGTCTAACAGATTGCGAATTCAAGAGCTCTCTAACCTGGCGCATACCACACCTTTGTTGGTGTGTGAGGTTTGAGCTTACTTTTCTTTTTTGCTAGTGATTAAGTATGCGGAAAATTTCGTCCGAAAATAAGCGAAATTTAGGGTCAATATCGCTATTTGGTAACTCTTGTTTAAAGAAAGTTCGGAAAAAAGGTATTGGTAGTAGTTCCCCCCTTGGTACTACTTTACCTAACCTTTCTAGCCTAACCCTGTGACGTAGCTGATTTTGAACTTCATGTAGACTACACGTGATCCTGCGCAGGATTGGTTTAGAAATGGGTTGACTAGGTGCAAAACTCGGACCCAATTCTAACAAGGAACGCACATTTTCCGGAAGCGTTATACCTCCTAGCACAGTAACTCTGGATGTTTTTGTTGCGCAGTCTATTTTAGGGCTTTTACTTGGGACTTGACCAGCGGTGGTCCTTTCATTTGACCTTTTTGAGCGGCGTGATAGATCTTCAAACTTTTTCCTTAACTTGCTCTTAATATCACACCGAATCTTTCCGCATATCGATTTAGACCCAGCTACTATTTTCTTCCAAAGATTTCTCTCCAAATGCTGAGCACAATGGTTTTCTTTGTACACACATTTGTTTAATAGTGAAAACATTTCGTTTTGTGTGCACCGCAATGAAATGCGTAGCAGTTTTATTTCGATGCTCAGCATTTGTTGAGAGCTCTCTGGTAAGCCGCATACTTCGTATAATTTCCTACGTTTTATAAAGTTAAGAAGAAGGAAGACCTGTGCCAACCTCGCATCAGCTTAAGATCAGTTTAAGATCATACAAATAAACATACCAACTATCTACACCGAGGTTTATAGAAAGTCGGTCTTTCGAGTTAATTTAAGACTGTTTGTTGTGGCCTTATAGAGAATCCTTGGAAGTGATTCACAAAGAGGGTTCCCGCTGTTCATTGAGAACTCTACAAGCACACACGAAGATGTCCTGCCATCGTGCTCATGTCTTTTATTTTATTTTTTTTTGAGCAACGATATGTTCGAAAGGAAACTTGAAACAAAACAATCAATAGATATCAGATGGATATCGTTCTATCAACATCCGCTTGTGGAAGATTTGGAGCTCGTTTCATGCTATAGTTTACATATTGATAGCAGGATTTCTGCTCACTATGAAGAAATAAACCGCTGCAGTGGAAACTTGAGTAAATCGCATGAGTAGTAAGAAAAAAAGACGACATTAACTCACTTTATGCTTCAATTCTAGTAGTCGGGCACTAAGTGATGCGAAGTGCACTTTAAGCTCAGCTACCATAATTGCCGGTGGCTAATGAAAGAACGAGAACCGCGAGAATTTAACACATGCTTGCGCAGGAGCTATGTTCTCCTATACTTTCGTGGCGATGACGGTAATTAGATTAGGGACGTGAGCATTTAATTCTCGTATCCTATTGCGCATTTCTTTTATCGATGTCTTCACTTCCAGGCGATCATAGACTCGGATAATTGGCTCTGACGAGGGCGAAGGAGTCGAAACGTTAGTCGAAACGAGCTTACTATCAACGTCGTGTAAGCTCAAAAATTGAAAGACGTACTGCATGAAGACCACCGACCTGATAACCAGAGTTCTTCAGGAAAAGCCTAGAAGAAATGTATGATGCTCAACGAGTTCCTAGGGAGGGCACAATCAAATGGGCTGCTCTTGCACGCAGCAGAGAGAAATGTTACGTTTATTGGAACATACTCGAGTCACTCGACGATCAGCTAGACGACAAATGATGCAGTAATAGGTGCGCAGCAAGAAACAGTCTCCACGGTGTATCGCGGGTGTGCTTGTTTTGTTCGCCTTTAGTGACGTTCTGTCGGAGCCGAGATTTGATCGCCCCTCACCGGTTATCTCATCTACCGATTATCGCTTTTGAGCTGCGTCCGATAAGACAATCTGCAACTGGCACTATTATCAGCGGTACAAGACGTGTTGCAGTACGATCAAGCTTCAGTTCCCCTCTCTTCTTAAGCTATATTCAGTGGTTATGGAGATGCTGTTGGAATTTTTTGTTTGACGAACTGAAGCGATCTCGGCATAAATCCCAAACCTTTTAAGTCGCTGAGTATAATATATAGGCTATATATAGGCTATATATAATATATAGGCTATATATATAGGCTATATAGTATAAGGCTTAAAGTTATATATACATATGCACTAATGATGTTAATGAATGACGTGCCACTTCTTGGTTCTCTTGCGTGCGAAAGTAGTACGCCGTCTGGCCTCTAATATTCACAAACAGTTTTCGTTAGTTGTAGCTTACAACTAAATGTGGTCTTGACGAGATGACACACAAGGGCTTAGAGAATATTCTTGAATAATAATAACATAGGTAAGGAAACCTGGCGAATCACACCAGCTGGCTCGCTGCGATGAATGACGGTTATCGCACCGAATTAGTGAATTTATAATAACATGCATGCACATAGGATGATAGTTCAAAGCCTCTTTTATAATTCTGTCGACGACCCAACTTTTGAATTATACTAAGAATAGAAAATTTGTGGGTAGTTATTCGAAGAAATGGAATCGCATGCAATGTGTAGCATCATTTCTAAGAAGCTATTCCTTGGTTTCCAATTTCCAATCACCATTGCCACTTTTAGGAGATGGACAGCACAGTGGTAGTGATGTCCGTCATCACGAGCTTGGTGCTGGTTTGATTCCTCTCCGGACCAACAAAGCCTCTCATCTCTGTGCAATCGAACTGGGAACGCTCCAGCCCGGCTATCTCAGGACTCCAGGGAGAATTGCTCGACCAGTATTCTACGACATTTAAGACGAAATGGAAATCCTCAAGCAACAACCGAGGCCACAAATAAAAAGTTGGAAGATCTTCGTGAAAATGGATGCGAGGAAACGAACTGGATGTGAGAAGCGCTGGGATCCGCACAGTGAACGTTAAAGAGGATCAAGTGAAATAAAATAAAATAAAAAAAAACAACGGCTTTTAAGCATCGAATGGAATGAGAAATATCGAAACTGCAAGATAAACATTGTGATATTCTTTGCACAACTTATAAAATCTCATTAAATGCTGACCGCAGCGTGGTTACGTAGTGGACCAGTTTTTTTCCTTTATACGCAAGAGTTGAATATGGACTGAAAACATGAGAGGGTGTGTAGACGAACATGGAGCAAACACAGATGGGAGAAGGAAAGAAATCTTTCCAAAACGCAGAGAAAAACTGATTCATCGAACAGAAGTCTTAATAAAAGGGGCGACTCTACAAAAAGTGGGTGGGAGGCCGTGTGACATCCATAGCTGTCACAGTGAGCACAGCGAAAAATTAGGGGTCGCCCAGTCATCAACGAAACCAAAAGTAGGTGTCGACAGAATGTTAAACTACCTTTTCATAGGTGGGATATGGGTGCAATCAATTACCTTTTCCCAGATAACCTTTCGGCTCGTTCTTCAACACTAATACAAAGAGCCGATTGAATTCACTGACCCATTTCTCATGAAAATTTTTAGTTTGGTGAAGAAAGTTGATCTAGAGATTGCATAACAATTTTGTCCAGCTAATAGGAATATGAAGTAATTGATGTAGTAAACTCTAATCAGTATTTTGACATCATCATGTGCACTACCTAAAATACCTTCCAATCAATACAGCTACCTGTCGCACTCATCCAGTTCTATGATCGGTCTTAATATAACCCAAAAACTCCAACTGAAACACTACTGGCTCGGTGTTCAACAAGTGTACTGGTCCATATCGTTGCTGGTCTCTGTGAATGTTGCTGTTCTTTACAAGTATCCAAATTTTACGTCTATTCATTAGTGATATTGTCTAAGAGCGGAATGTCGTCAACAAAAGGACTACTGTCCACACGGATGTTCCAATTTTTATCATGTATTTCGCAACAAAACCCAAATTAGGCGTCGTTATGGGTGTGTTAAATCCGTTTTAAATTACGCATAGCGCGAACGTAGAGGTACAAACGTTTATTAAAAGGATATTTATAAGACGAAATGGTCATTATTTCCCAGATATTTAAACTGATTAATATTAATTTACGACAAGTTTGAGAGCTCAACAGGAGGTTTTATCACAAGGACCATCATATCGAGAATCCTGAAGCTGAGCAATTTTTGAGTCTGCCTTTATGAGTTTCTTAGGGAATACGTTCCATAGCAGCTGTCGACTACCATAAAGTGCAGGTATTTTCTGGATTCATGTTGGAGTTGCGCTTACAATCAAATGTTCGTGCAAATTCTGGTTGGTTGGACAGCACGACGTTCACACGGTACATGTCTGGGGGATGAACATCGGTTGCCAGAATATCAAGTAACATCGCCGTTCGAATGCTTCCACACCACATCTGCAAGGAAATGCTTGAACATAGAATGCGTATTTACTTCTTTTTGTTGTTATACGAATCTCGTCCCAACGGTTTACCGCCTCATCGTGGCTGGGAGGTGTTCCTGGGTGTCGGACTGCGATTTACAGCGGGGGGATTCGTTTACCCGGCAGAATCTCCCAAGCACAGAAAGAGTGCGGCGTTTCCATCAGGAAGCCTAGCTAAGAGTAAACTAATACCAGGATCCACCACCGTCCTGGAATCCAAATCTCATGGTGACAAATCTCCCTCTGATCCAGAAGGGCTGCGACTGCCTGTCGTGGTAACGACTTGGGGCAGACTTTCGCCAGGCTGTCCTCGGGATTCCAGTGAACCACAATGGCTTGACCAGCGAATCTCCAAAAAATTATGATTATGCTGGGGCCCGCACAACAAGTGAGCACGGACCGTTCAAGTATTAAGTAAGTAAGTATACGAATCAGATTCGGAACAATATCTCATCGTTTTATTCAGTCATGTTTCAATTTTGTTTGGCTTCTGTTGTCCCATCACTAAAACTTTTCTCTATCGATGGCTTATAATAATAATAATTAATAATAATAACAATAATAATAATTTAATATATTTATTTATATGATCTTATAAACTGTTCTTCTTTAGCTGATGCGAGGTTGGTACAGGTCTTCGTTGTCGTTGTCGATGTTGTTGATGTTGTTGGTCGATGGCTGACGTTTCGGCGACTTCGCATTCCTCAGAGCCAGGACACGTTTTATATTAGAATATTTCTATTACTTGGTGGAAAAAAGGTTAAAGTATTAATGAAGATCAAACTTTTAAATAGACGCCGTATTGAACAGGAAGGCTACTCACCGTGAGGTTACGAGTGGCATTGGCCCACGCGTTATTCACGCGGGATCGCGAGGAAGACACACCGCGGTGTCAAAATATAATTTTGAAATGGGGCGTCAGGTCACGCGTGATAGTGAGGCATTTCCGGTTCATCTTTGAATTTTTAAAATTTATCCAAAACACCTCAAGAGTTCTCCAAAATAATGTTTCGGACGTAAGTAAGATCCCGTTAAGCTACCCATAATATCAAATGAAGTAAGTCACGCCATTAAGATGTGCTCAAGAAAAAGTGGTCTTGAAAATTATGTAACGATTATTGACATCCCACCCAATACCGTACGCCGCCAGTTAGTTCGAAACCGTCTCTGTGATCGTTTGTGCAGCTCAGAAAACTGTACGATCTGTCCTAACGGGATAATATACTTGATCTCATGTAACGCGTGCGGTGAGGAATATATTGGGGAAGCGGGTAAACCACTTTGTGTCCGCATAAAAAAACATCTAGATGGGAAAGCTGAAATCCGTCAAAACACTCCCCTAGGTACACATAGGGCGCAAAAGCACAACGGCGATGATTTTGAAGTGAATGTGCGGATCCTAGCGCAGCAATCGAAAACATCAGCGCGCAAAACTATTGAGGCGTTTTGGATAAATTTTAAAAATTCAAAGATGAACCGGAAATGCCTCGCTATCACGCGTGACCTGGCGCCCCATTTCAAAATGATGTTTTGACACCGTGGTGTGTCTTGCTCGCGACCCCACGTGAACAACACGTGGGCTGGTGCCACTCGTAACATCACGGTGAGTGACCTTTCTGTTAAATATAGCGTATATTTGAAAGTCTGATTTTTATTAACACTTTAGCCTTTTTTCCACCGAATACCGTATTCTTATATGAAATTCCACCGTATTCTTATATGAAATACGTCCAAGTTCTGAGGAAGGCGAAATTGCCGAAACGTCAACCATCGACCAACAACACCAACAACAACGACAGCGACAACGAAGATCTGTACCAACCTCGCATCAACTTAAGAAGCTCGGTTTATAAGATCATATAAATAAATATATCAACTATCTATGCCGAAGTTTATGGAAAGTCGGTCTTTTGAATAATTTAATAATAATAATGATAATAATAATAATTTGAAAAAGGGGAAAAAATCTTTCATTGGGCAATCTCAATCTAAATCTTACGAATGCGTAGCTCATGAAAAAATACTGCATCGGGGTAAAGTCCTCCAATCCGACAATAGTGAATTGCTCAGGAGTGCGCTCAAACAAACGTAGCGCGGCCTGAATTGCGATGTGTTTTTTGTTAGGACTGAAAAAATCATAGGCTACTTGAATCTCTTAGTGAGCTCTTAGTGAGCTTTCACACTCAAGAATCCACCCGAATGGCAGCTCGTATTCCTCCATTATCGGCGATATTTTCGCCCTCAGTTCGCTTTCCATCAATCTGGAAACGTTTGATTGCTTGCAAAATTCGCTTCTAAATTCTATATGTTTTCACAAACAACTAAACTCATTTACTAAATGGAGCCGGGGCAATGAGAATTTCAGAAAAACTTTTGATGTTATTGATAAAATGGAACACAACTGTACATTTGTTTCATTCTCATTATATAAAAGGATAATAAAGCTCTAGGCGTTGATCAACCGAGGGATGCGCATGCATTCGACTTCATTATGCATCGTTTGAAGGTGATTGAATGCATATTTGGCCCTTACAATGACTCGCGGTGGGCTACCGATGTATCGAGCTAGTGCTGCTATCCTCCCAGACAAGTCTGGTGCCAATTTGCCGACCCCGGAAGGATGGAAGGCTTGGTGGCTCATGGGCCCTGGGATCAATTCCACGTGTGTTTTGCGGGGCGCATCCAACCACTGCGTCACACGCACCCTTCTCACTATATAGGAAGGAAAAAGCCCGACCACAAGCAGGCAACGGCTGAGTTATTCGGTTTTTAGTAAGGTAAAAAAATGTTTTATTTTCATAAGCTCACCTTAACGTTGACATCTTTGACAGAGATATTTCCGTACTGTTTCTCGAAGCATTTCTTCTTGATCTCGAAGTTCTTGTAGGTTATTTTATTCCACCAGTTCCTTCTATTGCCCAGTTTGTCATAAGACGCTCCTTGAACAAATATTAGCTTTAAAAATTGATTTAAGCTAATTCCTTATGTACCTTCGGAACCTACCACTATCATCAAATCCATGTGTCACCTCATGCCCAGTGACGGCGCCAATCGCACCGTAATTCATCAACCTATGGAGCGTTTTGTCAGAAAAAAGTTTTCATTTTGTGCTTTCCTGATAATCAACGTTGAAATCACCTAATGATACGCAGTTTGCTAATGCTTTCCATTAATGTGATACATATATTACTGATTACATTACGTCTAATCGCATCTAGCGCAGTGGTTCGAGGTGGCCAGCAAGCAATGCACCTAAGGTGTTCGGTTCTTCCCCGCACCTGTGACAAACTGCGCCCTCTTTTCCTTCGAAGTCAGAAAATTGATTTGAAAAATGGTCTAGGTGGCTAGCATTCAATCATCTCAGTGATGCTACATCTGCAGTCGAATGCATGATGCATGGCTAAAGGTCTGATCAATGCCAAGTGTTTTACACAGTTAACTATTACGGGACACGTGTAGCGCAGTTGTCGGAGGCGCTCTTCATTGCACATGTTTTCGATTTCCGCGCCGTAGGCCCACCAAGACTTCCATCCTTTCGGGGTCGGCAAATTGGTACCAGACTTGTCTGGGAGGATAGCAGCACTGACTCAATACATCGGTAGGCCACCGAGAGTCATTGCAAAGGCCAGATATGCATTCAATCACCTCCAACGATGTTTGATGAAGTCGGATGCATGGCACATCCCTCAGGGATTGATCAATGACGAGAGCTTTTACTGCCTTCAAAAGTTCAAATGATACTTTACTACTTGGAAGCACCGATATCAGTATGAAGCTTAGTGCTCCAGCAAAATTCTTGAATATGTGCATACCTTGGCAAGGAAGCGTTGAAGAACGGTGATTGTAGAATTGCCGCAGTGATTGCTTTATTAAAAACGAAAGTATTTCGTATTCGTGGTGCATGAAATTGTGAGAAATCAAATATCTACCGATTTGATTCTGATTGACATCATAGAAGGCGTTCACTTCTACCACTGACGTATCGAATACGTCACGACTGTTCAGTTGCTCCAATCTCATGAATGTTCGTTCTTGTCCCCATCGATTAATTGCCATCACAATGTCGTAGAACGAATTTTGCGAAGTGAAGTGCAGCTTAAAAATACATATATCGTCACTTAGACCAAATTCTATGCTTTCCGATAGATAATTATTTAACTTACATTCGAATACTTTTCCTTTTGTTGTGTTTCGTTGAAGATTCTCTTATCATAGCCGACGAAATCTCGTATGGCATTGGCATAGAAGTATGATAAAAACTTAGATGACTCAATGTTAACTTTTTATTTACTGCCTTTTACGCTTTTTACGGCAGGGTATTATCTGTGGTATAGCCACGATAATTCTGAGATCCACAGGTGTCTGTGGTGGGGTACGAACACGCTATTACCCTTTCCGTGGGCTAACGCGTTCACCACCACCATGCGGGTCCTTCCCGTTGGCGGGCGATTGCTGATGGCACTGATCGATAGAACTAGCTGAGAAAGAGGTGAAACGAAGGACCCACATGATGAGGTGGTGTATGCCTTAGCTCCCGAAAGAGTAATAGCGCGTCCGCTTCCCATCGCAGACACCTGCGTTCCAAAGTTTTGCAAACATCTCACCATCATTGTGGTTGGATTATCCATTTTTTACGGCCTGGCATTTAAAACACTACGATTTGCATTGGTGTAATCTTTTTTCACTTTCAAAGACCATTTTTTCCTATTTAGAATATTCTTTTTCTTAGAAGAGATCGTTGAACCGGCAAAGAAATCGTTTGGTATCGTAGCGACTTCCTGTTCAATTACCTCTCTATAGCGGATTGTCTTACTTTTTCACGAGCTCGTTTCTTTGTGCTTTCATCCATCCAGTTGTTTTCGACTAACAGCTCCATGAATGCACTACGAATGTCCTCAATTAGTTCTTTCATAGCAAATACTGTAAAAAAGTAAGCTCATTCCTAGAAAGCTCATATTTCCTCTCCAATCCATCAGAGGCTCACCGCTGCCAAAATCAAAGTGTTGTTCTAAGTAATGTTTTCCTGCTATATCTCTAAAGGTCTCTGTTGTAAGTTTCACGCAGTCGTTAGTTAGATTTCTTCCCTTCACTCCATAAAGTTGACTTTGGAATTCCTAAATGTAAGAAAAAAGCAATACACGGTTTCTGAAAAATTTGCTGATCAAACAAAAGAATAAGGATAAACATTTCCAAGTAGACGAGAAATTTACTTACTTCCAACAAGAGTTGAAATCTTCTACCTAGGAAGCTTCCATAGTGAAAAATTACCTATAAAACGAAAGCTTCAGCTGCTTCCATCTTTTACGGCCTCATTATTTGGGCCTCATTGTTATTTGTATATTTGGAAAATGTAAAACATTAAGCGGTTAGAATCCACCTTCCAATCGAGGTAGTCCAACATGGTCTGCTCATCTATGCTTAGCATGAACTCTTCTAACCGTTGCACGGCCCTGAATTGTACTATTCGAAATGGTTGTGTTGTAACCGTATGACGAAGACGAAGTGGCAAGAGAGCAGTGACATAGTGAAACCAGTCAATCTGTAGAAATATTTTGCAAAAAATGAAATTTGTAAAATCCGTAAAAGTTCAAAAGTAACAGATATTTGCTGTGGAAATTATAAAGGATAAAGAATTAAGCGTTCGACGTTGATTCATCACTGAAGGATGCAACGCGCATTCGACTTCGTCATCGTTAGAGGTAATTTGAATCCATATCTGCCTAGCGCAATCACTTACGGTGGTCTAACAATGTGTCATAGTCAGTCCTGTCATCCTCCCACACAAGCCTGGGACCAATTTGCCGACCTCGGGGGGATGGATGGCTTAGTAAACTCGGATCGCAGGATCGAACCAACGACCTCATGTGTATGGCACATCACCTCTAACCATTGTGTTTCAACAGCCATAGAAATTTTGTAGCAAACAAATATTGTGTCATCTTATTCGTTATCGAAAATTATTTCGTTTTGTTTCAACGGTACTAACCGATCGTAGAGTTTTTTGAAGTTCATCTAATGTTATCGTGGTTAAATCGTCATTGAATTGTGTTTCTTCTAGGATCTGAAAACAATAGATAAACCGGTGATGCCAAAAGTTGTAAGGATTGTAGGAAAATCAAAGATTGCTATAAAAATAATCAACCGCTTACAGACGCAAGTTTAAAAGTAGCCTATTTCAATAAATCAGCTCAGGGACGGATAACTTCCATCGTTTTCAGATTTTTTGAAAAATACCTAGGAAATCACCAATGATTGAAGAACCCAATGAATTCAAACTTCAGTGTTGTAGCTATGAACGACCTCTTATCACCAAGCAAAATTATTTGCAAGATTTCCACGGTGTTTCTCCCGTTTTGTAAAAGTAATATTTCTCTATTTCTGTTTGCATAACAATGGGAAGCGGTTCTTAACCTTCGCTAGTGTTTGATCGACACGAAGAAGTGATTCAACCCTTCTCGTCTGGTCCATGATGTTAGCAGAGAAGAACTCCTTGTGTGTATCTTCAGCAGAAATCAAAGCCAGAATGTTAAATAACACTGTCCTAGTCGCTGCATATTCACGAGAATATGCCGGATTAAAATAAGTCTGAGCTGATAACATCGATGAGCTTGGAGCTATCTGAAAGTGATCGAATGAGGAATTTCATATAAAGGTTCTCCTTTCATTCCTAATTTTTCTCTTTTTTCTCAAAATACTTAGTGTCATCGCTTGGAAAGTGAATTTGCAGTCTAAAAGTGGTATAAAAGCATTTAAAATTAGAAGTACTAATGCTTAAATGGCGAACAGCATGGTGGTAGTACTGCCGATCACCACGAGCACGTTTCTGGTTCAATCATGCTGTGGGCTCATCAAGCCTCTAATCCTTCCGAGAACAGGAAATTAGTGTCAGATTTGTTCGGGAAAAGTCACTCTCTGCAATCCAATTGAGAACGCTCCAACCCGGCTATCTCAGGACTCCAGGGAAAATCGACTCAACCATCATTTAACAACATTCAAAATGAAATCAAAATCCTCAAGCAGGTAGCCGAAGCTACACGTAAAAAGTTGGAGTGCTTTCGTTGATGATGTATACGAAGAAACGAGACAAATATGAGAAGTTCTAGGATTTACACAGTATATCTGAAAGAAGTCGTTAAAAAAATACGGATGCTTTCCCAAAGGTTGTTACCGCCTCATGATGGCTGTGAGGTGTTTGTGGGTGTCGAGATGCCTTGTGCAGTGGTGGATTTGTTATCTTAGCAGGGTATCCCAAGTTGGGAAGGTGTCCGACTTCTCCATCCAGAAGCCCATCTAAGAGTAAACCAATACTGGGATTAATTATCCGCTTGACAGCAAACTGGTCTCGTGGTAGGAAATATCCCTCTGATTCACAAGAGCGGCGACTGTCTGGGGTGGTGACGATCTTAGGATGCCTTCAGCCAGGCTGACGTCAGGTCTCCAGCGAAGAGCAGTTCTTAAAGCATCGAAACTCAAGCACCAGTGCTCCGCACACTGTGGGCTTCCATCTACGTCGTCGGGCGATGAGACAACCGGTGAGATTCGATCAAATCTCAGGTTGCACAGAACGTCATTGGTAACTAACAAAACGAGCACGCCCACCTTACGTCGTGGAGACTACTTCTTGCAGTGTACTTTTAACACCAGAATAATTTATTCAGATGCCGATCTTTATTTGTTCTTGAGGCCGCTGATCGCTTCAAATTCCATGTGATCGCCCTACAAGACGAAAAATGGGAAGGGCACCAACACCAATTACATGAGGAGACATTTGTTATTTACGGAAGGGATTTTCGTTTAGAGGCGTTGTCTTTGTCGTACACACATCTGTTTCCCATCCTCATATGAAATCCTTTACCGCAATTGGCCATATCTCTAGCTTCTGTAGCAAAAGGAGGTCAATACTATCAGTTGATGCTCAAGAACTTATACAGCTGATGAGATCAAATTGCACGCATCCTAAAACCACTTGGAGGAGTTATTCCGCAGGGAAAAGTCGTTCTGCAAATTTGTTGTTGCAGACGTCAATGCCAGATTAGGATCTGCTAATGAGAATGAATAGAGGATAGGGAAATTCGGGGTAGGGAAACAAAATGAGAATGGAGATCGTACTGCAGGGCTTCTGTCTTCAGCACCTTTTTTACAAGGTAATTCCTTTTTTGAAAAACAGGAAAGTCGCCACTGAACATGAGAGTATCAAAACGGCATGACTCATGCGGAGATCGATCATATTCGTACGGGTTCTTCTTTGACACCTCGGCAGTACCTTCATTCTGTACTGGATATAATAACCGCCAACTCCGCGCTAAGAATCGATTCAGCCATAAGCCGGGAAAGAACTTCTGTTATTTTCCAAGAAAATCGAAATAGGGTATGCATGATAAGAATATTCTCAACAAAATATTCTCCTCATTTGGTTAGAGATAGAGAAAGACCCAACCAACGGCTACATATTGCTTGTTGGAGGTCTTAAAACATGTGCTAAACTCGCTTTAGTTCCCCAAACAAGAGGATATGGTGTCTCCATTACCACTAAAGAGTTGCTCTAAAGGAGAAGGAAGGTGGAGCCTGATGAAATTATAACAGGCCCTAAATGGTGACAAGAAATGCCGTCTATAGAAGATCTTTCTAGGAGGGTTTATACCACTATAGACGGAAAAAATCATGGGAGTAGCTCAAAAACGATGCAGTCTGAAGAAGTGGCGTCCGCATCTTTGTGACTACAGTTTTCCGCATTCTGCCCTCATGACCGAATGTGGGACTATCACCACGTCACACAATGATACCCATATCTGATAACAGAAAAGTTCTATATCAAAATTTTCCATTCCCTGTTAGTGGAGGACCTCGCGCACGGTCACCTACTCAAGAAGTATGACCGAAGGGATCTTCGCAACTACCATCTAATTTGCTTGTTGAGTGTACTCGGAAGCCCTCACGAAGACTATGCTTTTGTACACAACGAATACCTTGGATAAGGCGGAGCCAGTTCAGCATGCAGGATTCTGGCAGGGATTTTGTTTTAAGAACCATATCCAAACCACATCACGTGTCATAGATCTGTCGAAAGTATCGTCTGATCCCTGTTCTAACCTTTGTCATCTATGAGAAACGTTTAACAGCGTCGAAACAAATACATCTTATCAGTGCTGGTCGACCAAGCAGTGGACCTGTCATATATACGAATGCTGGCTGACTGTTGTAAAAATTGCAGTACAAGCATACAGCTTTTTCATCGTCCTATCAATACAGCAATAGAAAAATGAGTCCCAGAAGGGGGCAGAATATCGTATCGCCAAAGCCGTTTGCTACCGCTTTACAGAGGATAAAAAGGTCACTTGATTGTGACGAGAAGGTATTGATTGATGGAAAATTCCCATCAAGTCTTCCTTTCGCGGACCACATCGTCATCTTTTTGAGTAGTGGCAATGTAGCAGGGACGATCCCCAATAAATTCAACGAAGCGGGAAAAAAAATAAGACTGCGCTAAATAAGACAAAGACCGAGTTTATGAAGAATCCATGGTGCGAGGGCGTGCAAATCGAACCCAATTGTTCTCTGATTATAGAAACCGCCACGTATGTAAACCTTGAGCATTCAATGAAAGTGGAGAGCAACATGAAGGAGGAATAAGACAGAAGAGGTAGAGCGGTATGGGTCGCACCTGAGCTTCTCAAAGAAGCTACCGGCCACCTAGAGCACCCAGAGGTTCACGCTTACCTTTTTGATTCAGTAGTTTTCCCAGCGCTATGGCATGCAGCAGAAGCGTTCGCTGATGTTTGAACACAAAAAAAAAATCTGCGCACCACCCATAAAGCGCTTGGACAGTGTCTTTTGAAATTTAACCGGGCCTCACAACAATGGCCGGAATGCGCAGCTCAGATGTCCGAAACCTGCCCCATCTTTTGGATCCAGGAGAATAGACATCGATATCGAAACGGAGATGAGTCTTTCACATAATTACAAAGACGGACGACAGGTGGACGAAAATAACAGTGGAGTGCACTCTAAGATAATGCAAGTACCAATACAAAGAACGACGGTTGAACGAGAGAAAACGAATGGAAATTGTGTTAGGGCTCGCACAACCAGTGAAAACTGGTCCTCCAAGTGTCCAAACAAGTAAACAAGTATCGAATTACCATAAACAATCAACTGATTAATGTGTCATAATGTATGACTTTTTATTTACTTATTTTTTCATGGCAGAGTACTATGTAAGGTAAAACCACAATGACGTCGAGATATTTGCAAAACTCAGACCTCAGGCCAAATTGGAACCGCGACTACCCTTGTCGGGGCTCACTGGTTACCCACTGCAGCCCTTAGGCCATCGTTTTACCTTTCTCTCAACCAGTTCTTTGCCTTAACGGTGCCATCAACAATCACCCGTCAATGGGGACGATCTGCGGAACACTGGAATCGGTCTTAGGGTCTAATTTTTGCTCAGCTCAAATATCTCAGAATCTTTGTGGTCTTATGTGTCGTTAATCCTCTCAACGTCTTTCTGCCTCATCATGGGCTGGGTGGTATGCACTATAGGCAAATTACCATTTAAAGGACGAAACTGCCGGCGTTGATCAACCCCTGAGGAAAGCGCCATGCATTCGACTTCACCGTTAAAGGTGGCTGAATATATCTGGCCTGTGCCGTGCCGATGTATCAAGTCAGTGCTGGTATTCTCCCAAAAAAGTCTGGTAGCAATTTGCCAATCCTGGAATAATGGAAAGCTCGGCGAGCCCAGGACGCGGCATCCAACCAAACACCATGTGTGCATTGCAAGGCACCTCTGACCACTACGTTACACGCGTCTTCATCGAACTGTCATGTACACCCTAAAATTCACATCAGTGGTAGGAGTCATTTAAAGTGAGAAAGGGTTCAACATTTTCATCTGTAAGCTTAGCTAAGAGCAAATTTATTCCAGACATAGCTTCTCTAGGAGATGAAATGCAGTCGCAGAGCTAAAAAACTCCCATAATTCATCTGGGTGAGTGACCTCCAACGGTGACGGCCGGGAAACGCACAACCGCGAATGTCCTTAGGTTATAGGGAGAAAAGTTCTACTTTACTTTTAAGCAATAAAATGTCGGTTAATTAGTTGTGTTAGGGTACTACGTAGAGGCTACTACTATCTATGGAGCGGTGTCGTGTAACGAATAAATGAATACTCGTCAAAATTTACGCTCATTATAGGGTGTATTAGAGAGAGACCTTCTAAGAGCAATTAAAAAAGTTCATAGACCTGTAAAATATTTATGGTGGAGTTATAGTCATCTGCGGAAACAGTAAGCTCATAGAACAGACTTTCTGATCTCATAATCAATAGCCATTCAGTAATCGACGTTGTCTTCTTCAGTTCTCTGAAAATATTCTATACAGCATTATATGACTACAATCTCACATAATGCTTAAGATTTTTAAATTCGTACCGATTTCTTACATGCAGATCCAGCAACTAACAACAAAATGTAGAAGCCCTCCGGCCTGACGTCAGCGTAACCAAACTCGGCGTCAGGTCGTCACCACCACTAACAGTCACCGTCCTTCTGGGTCAGAGGAAGATTTGCCACCATGCGATTAGTTTGATACCAGGACGGTGGTTGATCCTGGTATTGGTTTGCTCTTAGCTGGGCTTCTTGATGGAAATGCCGGACTCTTTCTTATCTTGGGAGACCCTGCTATGGGGATGAATCCTCTCGCTGTACATCGCAGCCCGACATCCAGGAACACCTCCCAGCCATATGAGCGGTAAAACGTTGGGAAGAAAAAGCATTACCAATTTTGAAATAGACTTATGTAATTTTTCAACGATCATCAATAAAATATCTACTTGAAGCAAAGCAGATATGACGTGGACGTCTTATGAGATCATTTAGTGACGACATAGAGAGGGACCATTCAAATGTCAAAATGGAATGTACTCCTTATTAACCACTTATATTGCTACCTTTAATGGATATCACTCTCTGGTTTTCCAATTCTTAGCTAGAAATAAGAGCTTGTAGTCGCAAAAGATTTTGCAAATGAACAGCCCATTTAGTTGTCCTCTTTAATTTTCAATAAGCATTCTGTGCACCGACGTCCAATCCAGTGCCTGGAGGAACGAAACAACCTAAGTACACATTATTACGACAAATGCTACTGTTCCAATAAAAAACTCGCTAACAATGATTCGGGTTTCATCGAACACAGAATAAATAATATCAGTCATCTTGCCAAGTTCTAAATGTAAAGTTTAATGGGAAGCCCCTGAGATTCTGCTTTTTTTTTCTACTTTGCACGAACCTTCTTCACACCCACTGCGCGGTTCTCAGGACCTCTTGAATTCGATTCGTTTTTTCTCATTCATCATCCACGAAGGTCTTCGAACATTTTGCATATGGGTTCAGCTGTTGTTCGATGGTTAACTTCTTCGTTACAAATGTCGTTTAATGCTGCTCGATTAAATTCTTTCTGGAGTCTTGAGATAACTGGGTTAGAGCGCTTCCACTTGAATTGGAAGGGACGGAGAGATCCCAGACAAGTCTGCTAGCCACTTCCCAATCCTGGAGAGATGAGGAGCTTGGTGAGCACGCGGCGAAATTTTCATCTTTTAGTTGTTTCAAACATTTTAATCCGTTGACGAGGTTTAACTACTCCTTTTCTTAAAAGTGCTATGTAGTAACTAACACTTACCTCATTTTCTGAAACATTTTAATAATCCCGTCAGTTTTCCGATCTAACGAATTATAAAGGCACTTCTTATAAAATATCGTCATCAAGCCGTGTTCTCTAGACGGATGTGGTGCAGAAGTCATTAGGATCTCTGTAATAGTCGCAGTTTTATTATTACAATGAGTATTCAAATCATTTAACTAATCCGCGCTATGTGAAGGAGAACCACTTCTGTACTTCATAAATGCGTACAGTGATGTAGCGTATTGTGATGGTGAGCCATCCGAGCACAAAAATTTGTTGGCTCGATTTTTTTATGCCTAATGAAATCCCTATGCCCAGTGAGCGGCTTGGTCAGTGGCTAATTTTGTGGAAGTCCCTAGAAAGTAATGTCCATGCTCACTATTTTGACAAAAAAAAATGATCAACAGAATGATAAGTCCAACAGTTCCGTCATAATACCGTATAATTAAAGAAAGTGCGAAAGAAGCTTCTCATAAACCTATAAATGATAGAAGGACAAAGCTCTCGGTGTTGATCAATCCCTGAAAGATGCACCATGCATTCGACTTCATGGCGCATCGTTTAGAGGTGATTGGATGTATATTTGGCCTTTACAATGACTTGTGATGGCCTATCAACCCAGTGCTGCTTACTCCCCAGACAAGTCTGGTACCAATTTGCCGACCACGAAGAGATGGAAGGCTTGTGGGCCATGGGCGCCGAGATCTATTCCACGTGTGTGTTGCAGGGCACCTCCGACCACTGCTCTACACGCACCCTAATAAATTAGAGAACTCACCGCTAATTTAATGCACAGAGAGAAGTTATACATAATCTTAACATGTTATGAATTCTCTTAGCTTTATTTCCCTACCTCTCATTTGTTTTGTAATTTTTTCGTCGAGCATTTCAGTTTGTGTGTAGAGAAAACGTTGTTCAGGAATCGGATTTTCTTTAATCCATCCATTACAAACAAATGAATAGAAATCGGTGCAAGGATCTACCGAACGATCAACTGAGTTGACGAGTTCTGGATAGTGGATAACATGTCTACGTCTTTCATCATTACGGTAGTCTGGAATTACTTAGATTCGATGTTTAGAAATCATCATTTTCATTCTCTTTTACTGTTAAGTAAGATGAATAAAGTTTGATAGAGGCTGAGAGACAGGCGAAACGAAGGACTCGCATGGTGTGGTGGTGAACGCGTTACTCCCCGGAAAGGACATTAGCGCGTTCGTTCTCCACAGCAGACACCTGCAGTCCGGAGTTTTGCAAATATCTCGGCATCATTGAAGTTGTTTCAAAATTAATTTTTGCCCAGTTGGACTTAAGAAAAGACTTTTGGAAATGAATTTTCGATTATTAAAAGCGCCTTTTGGGAGTGAATGCTTCATACTGTGATACTTTGTTCCGATTTGTTACTTCAAATGAGGTAGAACAACATAAAATTAGTATAGAAACTATGAGGGCACGAGGACGCAACGAAAACTATGGAAATCGATTAACCGTGATATCGGCTGACGACAGTGTAGATGTGTCAACAGTGAGTAGTCTAAATGGTACGTTCAGTCATGTATTGTTGTGTCGATGACGGATAATAGGTACAGTTCGCATGCCCACTGAATAAATAAATACCAAAAGCTACCAACAACTATCGATTTCTGTGCAAATCGATAACAGTGGTCGTTTTAACAGATGACTGAACTAGGAAGTACTACCATTTCGCGATCTTGTGTATAAAAGAAGGACAAAGCTCTCGGCGTTGACCAATCCCTTAGGGATGCGCCACGCATTCAACTTCATTAAGCATCGTTTAGAGGTGATTGGATGCATATCTGATCATTACAATGCCTCGCGGTGGCCTACCGAGTGCGGACTCCCAGAGGGATAGAGGGCTTGGTGGGTCAAGGGTACGAGAATCGATCCCATATCTATCGCAGGGCGCCTCCGACCACTGCGCCCACGTGCGCCTTTTATCCTGTGTATATCACTCACTGCCTATATCGTGCACGACGCAGCTTGAAATGCATTTTAGAATGAAAGGGAATAAATCTGTAACCCTCTGCATATTTGATAAGGATGAGCAGATGTAAGAGACTAACCTGGTCGTCTTATCCGCTTATACTGCAGTCCTTCGGCTTCCAACTTAAAATCATCAAATGACAGCACACCGTTCTTTATATTCGCATTACTCATGGAAATTGTTAGGTTTTCAGCATATATGGAAATATTGGCAAGGATACTCTTTGAACTAACATTTCTGCAGTCACTTCGTGTAGTAGTGAGAATTAATACAATAGTAGCGATGAGTAATAGCAGATCCATATTCGAGTAAATTGCGGATTGATTGCCGGCGTGTGTAATCCAGAAAAAAAATCACCTATGGTGATTGCGAAATCGTCTTAGAATAAGTGTAGCAGGTCCCTCTTTAATATTTGATTGATATCGTTCAAGAAACGAAACATAAGAACGAAATGTAGCGAATAGATGGAGCGAATCACTACTGCTACAGAGCCATTGACTAGTTAGATAGTGGATAAAAGCCGACCGATTTCAATGGGCGATGATGAACAACAGCATGGAGGATAATCTCACACCGCACTGCTTTGGTTAGTCCCGTTGTACCGGTTTTGTTAGATACACAGCAATGAAAAAATGCCATCATGACAAAGCAAAGAGAAAATCATCTCTGAAATTCCAATAGTGTACGAAGTATGGTGTTAAACGATTACACGTCAGACGTTTTCACATTAATACTGATATAAACAAATACAGCTTGTCTATAAGTAGGCAAGTATAGCGCAAACGCTAAAGAGGCCTGAGCGCTTTCCGGCTTATGAGCACGCAACTGATGACTAGAAAAAATCATCTTCAGCGAAAATATAATCTATGAGAATAGCGCAACTGCATAGCAATAACATTCAGGAAAATATTTGCATTCTTATATTTGCACACGGTCTCCAATGATCACCAACACGAGTTAGTCAATATGAGACTGACTAAGAACTCCGTCTCAATGCTTTGTGATCGAAATTCATTTATGATAATGCGGGTGTTCAGTTGAAACCTCCAGAAATGTGTCATTGTGTAACCCTTAGAATATACCTGTATTTGATCTTACTAGAAATGCGACCGTTTCTAATGAATAAGGAACTCTACAGATAAGTGACCGTGGTTGAAGACTAGAATAGCTCTTCTTCACAAAAAACCGAGCTCTCCTCACCATACTTTCCATCTAACTAACAAGTTTCTAATTGCTTTGGGAAATTTTCATCCTGGATTGCTACGAAATCCGAACCAGCGTCATCATCCTTGAAAGTGGAAAGCAGTCATGAAGTGCAACGATGTTTGTTACATGCGCTTCAATAAAGTTTTTTTAAAACACGACAGTGATTCTTAGTAAAAGTTTGTTCTTAGCTGGGACTCTGAATGAAATTGACTAAATCTTACAATGCATTTCGATTCGAAGAAATCGATATGATCAGGCGATAAATCGTTGGTTGTTCGTGCAATTCTACTTTTAAAAAACGTTTCCTTGTTCGAATCGCCGCTTTCGTCAAAGAGATAATCACTCCACACCGTCGAAGCAATCCTCTTCTACAATATAACGATGCCCATCCTTAAATCATCCGCCCTTTGATCATTTTTGTCCAGGAAATGCTTCCTCTGGTTGCCGCTCTTAATCACCTCCGCTTTTGATGAACTGAAGGAATGGGACACATCGTTAACTGTGATCAACATAATAACGTCCTCGTTTTTCCAATTCAAAACTGTTTCAATTTTTCGATTCTATTCCTCGTGCAACTGTCTTTTATTCAGCTCTCACCTAATGATTTGTTTAGTTAGTTTTATCCGTTTTTCTTACAGCAGCCCTCTATGTAGTAACTATTCTTCCAAATAGTTCCCACCATTATTCTGAACTCTTCAAGAACAAATCAGTTCCCGACATAAGCTGCTCCCTATGGCTACGTCCCTACACTGTAAAATTTTCATCGCCTTAATATCTCGATCTAACACTACATCCATCTTCATACTATATCCGCCCCTCTTCTCCGCGAATGTCGTTCTTTGTCTGTCTATGCAAGGATCCTCAGCCAAGTCTAGAGTTCCGCAGGCTCTACAAATCCCCAGATCTCACGATTGATCTGTGGATACATAACAATACACTATCCCACTTCCGCCCGACTATATTTTAGCCACCAACCTCTAATATCATTATTTTTGTACCATATCACTTTGACGCATTTTCCTCGCAGAGGGGTTTCATGCTGATTTGTCGCGGAGCAACGCGGCGCACGCTAAGGTGGGGTGGACAAGGAGGTTAATCGCTGACCACAGCCAACCTTTTGTTTTAAGAGACAAAGATGGATGCAGTGGATGGCCTCCCTGTTTCTGCTGCGCTGATTTGGCACCTTTCTGTGCTTGCGAAGACATATCCATGCATGCAAGGCTACATATTAGCATACTCAAACCCCACGTTCAGACCTCAGCAAACTAAGCGTAGGTGTAAAATGCTAAACGCAGTGAAGTAAGTGGGCCTTATTCCTCTGACCTCGAATGACCCTCCGATACGGCACTTCAGGTTGAGCGAGTACACAGAAACTGTTGAAATCTCAGGGCAGCATCTGAACATCGAAGAACTAAGGCGATACACTGCAAACCTATTTTCACCTGAATGCTTATGTAGGAAGGATAAGGAACGACATCCTCAGACAAGCTCAGAAAAGAAGACGCTGTCCAATCGACGCCGTCTATAAGACCGGAGAAAAACTGCTCTTCGCAACATGCGACAATAGAGGAGTTGGTGGGTCGGTGCTCTCGTAAGCACAAGTTTGGCCATGAATATCAATTCATTTGAACAAGTAACAACCTGGATCGGACGTTTGCCATTGATGAGATGTGTGTCACTACCGGCTTTGACAATCTTAATCGTTTGCACATTCACATCGCGCTTTGACGGAGACGAAGTCGAATCAATGTAGACTTAGAACGGCTTTACAGAGAAGTCTATACATTCTTTAAGGCCATCACTGGAGATTTTAACGCTACGATTAGATCCAAGGATCGACTTTCTATTAACCTCGGCATTGGAATATGAATGCGTCGTTTTCTTGTTCAGCAATCGCGTGGTTTTTAAATAGCATACATTTACCTCCATAGAGAAACACAATACGATACAACACTGGCTGACGTTTCGGCAGTATCGCCTTCTTCAGAGCCTGGAAGGGTATACTGATATACAATCTACTAGGCCAAACGTTTCAATACCACTTACAAAAAGACGAAAAACTCTATGGTAATTACATGATCAACAGCTTCTCGAAAAACTCACCGCTTTTTACGTGACTTCCAATGAGGAAGTTTAGAACAGCTAATTATAGTCGCATATGGTTGATGACTGCACCATCCCACATCAGAAATCGATGCAAACATGTGGGGTCAGGTCGCGTATGACCTCCGGGCATTCATCCCTGCTATTCATTGTAGCGTTTTTGGCATTTATCCAAAAAGCCTCAAGAAGTTTTTGCGCTGGTGTTTTGGACTCCTGTGCAAGGATATTGACTTTTACTTCAAAATCGTCTCCGCTATGCTTTTGTATCCTATGCGTGCCTAGTGGGGTGCTTCGTCTTAGTTTTCGTTTGCCATCTAGGTGTTCTTTTATACGGATACACAAAGATCTGCCCGTTTCGCTAATATATTCATCTCCGCAATTGTTACAAGAGATCAGGTATATCGTACCTGAACTCATGCAATCACCGTCCCTGCCGTAAAGGCAAATTACGCAATTTGTTGTTTCACATAGACGGTCATACAGGCGGTTACCAACTAATTGAAAATGTAGAGTGGCCGGTGGTATTTCATTCTACCGATCCATCTAGACCTGCCCTTCTTAAGCAACGTTTTATAGCTACGCTTACTTCATCGCTTATAAAAGGCAACGTGAACGGGACTTTCTTTTGGCCAAGTGTTTCGAGTGGGCGCGTCGCTCTCCTTTTAAGCTTATCTCGTGCGGTAACTATTTCGTAGCCATTGGAGATGGCTATTTGCCGGGCCAAGTCGCGCGATTCTTCCTTTAGTTCCCTGGTAGTGCACACAGAGGTGGCTGTTCGAAGCATGTTTCTCACAATCACCCTCTTTGTGTGTGAAGGGTGGAGAGAAAGGAAATGAACAAGAATGTTCTTGTTACTTGTCTTTCGGTACCACTTTGTCAGGTAACCGATACTTGATAGGTTTATTTGAACGTTCAAAAACGGAAGCCAGTTTCTTCTCGGTTTCTCGGTGAAGTTTATGTACACAGACTGCTAGTTAAATAGTTCAAAGCATTTGTTCATCTCCTCCTGCGTAGAGAAGACGACAAAACAATCATCTACATATCTGCAGTAGAGTAGTGGCCGGAGATCGAGAACAGGGGCTTCTATCTTAGACATAAACACAATGGCCAGGCTTGGTGCCAATCGCTGTCCCATTGCCAACCCCCTTATTTGCGCGAAATATTTCCCAGACCATCTGAAAATCGGGCAGTTTAGGCACTCCTTTAAGAGAGCCATTAGCTGCTGGATGGACAAGCCATGCATATTTATTCTTCCTTCATGTTCAACAAGAAGTTCGAAGATGGCTTGCATTGCGGAGTCATTCGATACGTTGGTGTACAGTGTGGTAACGTCGAAAGACTCCATCACGTACGCGTTATTGGGAGACGCGTTACGTAGACGTTCTAGGAACATTTGGGTGTTTGTGAGGTGAGCTGGAATATGGTTAAGCAACTGGCTAAGTATCAGGCTTAAAAACGAGGTTATTCTATCTGTTGGCCCGTCTACGCAGCTGATGATCGGTCTAATCTTAAATGATGACGGATTGGTTGACGCATGATCATCAGGTGATACCAACTTATGTGTCTTAATAAGGACGTGTTAGGATATAGTATAGGACGGGACATGTTGGTTTATCGATTTTAAAGTGCGAAATAACCGATGATTTTAAACCCGCAGCCTTTGTCACACTGGCCCATTGATGGTTTAGCTTTCGGTATTGATTTTTATATTCCTTTTCAGAGGATGGGCGGTAGAGAGTAGCATCACTAAGATGTTCCTCTGTTATCTCAACATCCAGCTGGCGAGGGATAACCACGAACCCTGCCCCCTTATCACTAACAAACAATCTTATTGTTTTCGAGTTTATTAATTCTCTAATTTCCC